ATTACAAAGTATGTCACCTGATCATGTTCAAGCTTGGAAATTGATTTGTGATGTATCAAGAAAAGGTAGTGTTTATATCACATGATACTTAAACGTAATACAGGTCCTAGTAGTGTATGTGATCTACCATAAACTTTACTTGTGTTATATGGGATCTACTATTGTTATGCGATCTTTATCTCCAAACATAAGAATTAATATTTTTTTTAAGTATTCAACACCATAACTTGTCAATTTTAAAACTATTATTATATTTATAATTATTTCACATAAGTTTAAAAAAGTTACGTTACATCAATTTTGTTTTTAAATTATAAAATAATATCTTATAAAAATGTTGTCTTAATGTTGTTTCGGAATTAATCAAAAATATTTATAATGAATTAAACATAAGACATTAAATGACTAACTAGCAGCAGTAGATCAGATACAAGTCTACAACACTAGTACCAATGTATATATTATATATAGTTATATTATACAATTTGCAAACTTGTTTTTAGAATTTCAAAAAATATATGAAAGATTAAACGTCAGTATCATTGAAAGAGGTGAATCATTTTACCAAAACCGTATGGAAAATGTAGTTAAAGAACTGGAAAACAAAGGTATTGTTAAAGTATACATCTATATATCATTTTTACTTACATTCAACTCAATTTTATAAATCTGGGCTTATTTCTGCAAATAGCCTGAATTCTATTCAGCTATAAAAAAGATTAAATTAAATCATACAATTTTTAAAATTTTATAATTAGGATTTTTGGAGAATGACGATGGTAGAAAAATTATGTGGAGTCCAGATTCCTCAATACCATTAACCATAGTCAAGTCTGATGGTGGATTTACCTATGATACATCAGATATTGCAGCACTAAAACAGAGAATTGAAGAAGAAAAGGCTGATCGGATTATTTATGTCGTTGATGCTGGACAGGTATGAACAATTCAAACATATAAATAATTTTTTATGACCAAATGATTTTTTTTTTTTAGAGTGTACATTTTGAAGTTTTAAAAAAATGTGCAATTCACTCAGGTCTTCTAGATCCATCTAAAGTTCGCATGGACTTTGTTGGTTTTGGTGTAGTGTTAGGCGAAGATAAGAAGAAGTTTAAAACCCGTTCTGGTGATACGGTTCGTCTAGTTAGTCTTTTAGACGAAGGTAACATAGTTATTAACTAGTTTGTTTCTTACATTAAATTGTTTGATAAAATTAATTTTTTGTAATAGGCATAAAAAGAGCAAGAGATAAACTAGTAGAAAAGGGCCGAGATAAAGTATTGACCGAAGAAGAATTGAAATTAGCAGAAACGGCTGTTGCTTATGGTTGCATTAAGTATGCTGATTTATGTCATAATAGAAGTCATGACTATGTATTTTCTTTCGATAAAATGTTGGATGACAAAGGAAATACAGCTGTTTATTTATTATATGCACTTACAAGAATAAGGTCCATCATTAATAATTTGGGTACTCATACTCAGGACTTAAATGAACCTATTTCACTTGACCATGATAAAGAATGGAAACTAGCCAAGGTATTGTTTTTATTACGTTTTTTTATTTTTACTAATTAATATATTTTACTATTAATTTGATCTTTTAGACTTTGTTACGGTTCTCAGAGGTACTATCTAAAATCACTGAAGATTTTTGTCTCCATCATTTATGCGAATATCTTTATGATGTGGCTACAACATTTAATGAGTTTTATGACAATTGTTATTGCATTGAAAAAAATCCTCAAACTGGTAATTTTTAATTTTTACTATACTTCCAGTAATTAATTTTGTTAATGATAAATTAATTTAAATTCAATACATCACATTTAATTTCGATAAAAACTACAACATTTAGAGTTATGGGTTCAAATCCTACTTCATGTATATTTTCATTCTCTAATTTTTGATACTTTTCCATGACCAATGAACAATCAAAATATTTTAATAATGTATTATACATTACTATTGTGATATTAAGGTATATCAAGTTATTTAAAAACATATTTTAATAAAAAATCAGAATAATTCTAGCACCACAACTACACATTACTATTGTTTATATTTTTTAATTTTATAAATAGTCTTACAGTTCCAAATAATTTAATTATATTATATTTTTCTTTGAACTCTTGTAATGCTTCTGAAACTGTATTTAAATGAGTTGATATTGTGTAAGAATTTATTTATTCCTCTCATTATTGAAAAATGTCGAGTATCTTTTATACACAGCTTACATTAAAGCATCATGTTATTTCAAAAATTAGTTGAAACTTGATTTTTAACAAAACAATTTCAATATAAAAGTCTGGTGTTTATTTTGATAAAGATTTTTTTTAAATTAAATCATAAAATTCATAAAATAAACATATAATTTGTTTCATAACATATTTTAATATTTAATAATATTAAAAATTAATTTTAATTGTTAAAATTTCAATAACAAACAATATTTTTACCTCATACAAATTTAATATTTCCAACTGAAGCTAACTAACAGTATAATCATTGTGTTAGTTACATTTATACTTAAAAAGTACATGTCTATGTACTTTAAAATTATTTTTGTCTATGAATCATTATAAACATAAATAATTTATATAGTAGTAATAATGATTTTAAGTACATGTAAGCTATTATTGTTAGTAAACTTTATTGCCACTTTATTCCCACTGTATTTCCAAATATATAATTACGCCAAATTTATATAACAACTAAATTATTGACACAATATTTTCAGGTGAAATTGCCAAAGTGTATACTGGAAGAATATTGCTGTGTAAAGTCACAGCAGAGTACATGAATACTGGATTAAATTTATTGGGCATCAACACGGTATCTCGAATGTAGTGTACTTAACTGTACACCTACAAAATCCTACTTTTTTTTTTAACATTATTTTGATTTATACTTAGTTTTATCTTTTGAATAATACAATTAAAGTAAATTCTATATGAATATTTCTTATATTTATCTAAATATTATTAAAAATAATTCCTTATAGGCTCTTACATAACACATCATTATATTGTATAAATCCAAATTAAGTACTAAAGACATAAAAATGTTTATAAATTTTAATTTATTCTTCAAAAAGTTTAAAGAAAACTAATGTTAATTTAATTGGTATTAAATAATTAAAAAAACTAATATTGCATTTTAAAAAAAAATTGTTGTTTCATTATAGACAAGTGTTACCTTGATCAGTATTGAATTACTTATATTCATTCCTTTAGTATTCAATTAATTGACCCGTCTTTAATTACATGTAAGTTATTAATTATGTTTAATTTTTTTATTCTTATAATAACTATTTTTAGCCATTTATACTTTAAGCAAGAGATTACAATTTTTAATTGATAAATATAGTTATGTTGTTTATTTAAGACTAGAAGAAAAACAATTTAACATGCATATTCTATTAAACTAAACAGAAATGTCCTCTTTATTTTTATAAGATAATTCAATTTTTGTAATATACAGTTTAACTGTTTTACCTATAATAATTATTTTAGTTTGGATGTTATGGAAACTAAAAAAAGAAAAGTATTCACGAATAAATTGTAAAATATGAATGAAAAAAATGTTAATTATACAAAAAAAATAATAAAACTAACAAAATTCAAAATTCCAAAAAAAATCCATTTTATGTTGTTATTAATTTATGTTAAAAGAAATGTAAAATATGGAAAAATAAATATATAGTACTTCAAATATGGTAGGAAAACTGTTTGCCATTTTAACATTTTATTTGAGTGAAAAAAATAGTTAATAAAATATTAATTTGAAAAGACAGTATATCAAAATATTGTGAGATAGAGATTAAATGCACATAGCTGTTGTTAAATATTACAGTCTGCTGTAATGATAACAATAAATTTATTCATTAAATAATATTCAATATTATTATTAAAATACACAGCTTAAGAAGGAAAAAGTTCATTAAAAAGAAAAAATATTAAATAGGCATAATATGAGTGTAACAAATCTTTTCCCCAAAAATTGACGTGCTATGAATTTTAAATTTTTGATATTTAAACTCGCCATTGTATACCCCAGATTTCTATCCTGTTCTGCTATGAATTGAGAGCATTTAGAAAAATATGCAACTCTTACTACTTGTGAGCCCTAGTAATTTTCATTGATTAGATGTAATATTATACCTCTTTTTTTTTTTTTTATTTATTTAAGCTTCGACAACTCCTCAGTTGCCCTCAGATGGCCTCCCATTAGCTGTAGGTTGTGGTACTGTAGGGTTTTTTTTTTTGGAACTGTAGGGTTATGGAACATGTGTGTTTGTTTGGCAGAATTTCTAGTGGGCACCTGTAGGTTTCTGCCATGCCCGGTTGGGGAATGGCGGCCTCTCTCTCCGGACATTGTGACTGCCCGGGGAGAGGTTCCGCCCGTGACCGAGGTTCGAACCAGCGACGGTGCACGTTGCAACCGACCCGTTATCCTCTCGGCCACTCCGTCCCCTTTATTATACCTCTATATTGTTGTTTGGTAACAATTGTTTTTATTAATTTCCGATATTGAATTGTATTGGTTTATTATACTAGTCATTAAGTTATGGTGTAGAGGTTGTCCCTTTAAAGGTACATACTTTCAGATGAAGGCCGATCGAGCATAGAAGACTACCACACCTTGCTCTTATTTAGTTCTGTAGTAGTACACCATTAAATTATTATAAATAACTAACCTAAAAATTCTGGCTTTAAAAAACACCTTTAAACTAACCTTGAGTATATTATATTTTTATGTTATTGGTTTATACCTATAAAAGCCAAATTATTATTGTTTATATGTAGTATCAAATAGTTTAATAAATTAAAAACAAATAACATTTATTTTCATAAATACAAATAGGTGCATTATAAATTGTGTTAATATATAATTAAAAATTATACATTTCATATTAAATTAATTAATAGGATTCATATAATACTGAATTAATAGGATACAATAATAGTGTAATTATAACAATTAAAAAATAAAATATATTTATAATTTATACATTTTAAATGTATGCTGTTAACATTTAACATAACTCATTTAGTAAGTATTAAAGGGAATGTAATTTACAATCAATCTGTTTTTGTAAGAGTTAGGCATTATTGTAATTTGATCACTGATCAGTCTATTGCTATATTTTACAGTTGTATTTTAATATTTTTAATCAAATTTAAATAGATAAGGACTTATTTAGTATTTATTTTAAGAAGTTACAGAATACAAAATTTAAATAAAAAATAAATAGAATACATTTTGCATAGCCAAATTAATCTGAATTACTTATTTTGTCAGAATGAATAATAGGCAAATATAACTTAATATAGTCTAAAATTCTAAATTGTTTATAAATTGTATCTCCAGCACATTAAAATTAATTAAATGTTTAACTTCATCTCTGAAAAAAGTGCAACAGAGCATTATAATCTATATTAACGTACAATATTTTATAAGAACAGGCACACTAAAATATTATACATAGGTATGCATAATCCATCTAACATAATAAAGTTTATTGTAAGAAATTTATTATTTATGTATTTAAAGTACTTGGGTACAAATGGCTGGTTAATGCCTGGTTCACACAGCAAAATTGAAAACAAAACACACACAGACGGGACAATCTAATTTTTTTTTAAATCAAACCCTATTTTATTATCTTTGTGTGGACGTGGCTTTAAAAAACATTTTTGTAAACCAAATTCTCGCTGCTGGGTTAATTCCATAAACAATTTTTTACAACTTTTCTCGACTAAATTAATCTAACAATTTATAAGACAACAATGTCTGGATACATAATTTTTAATAATACCATTAATTTTATAATATTATAAATCCAAATTTCAAAAAAATATTCTGCTTCAGATTTTAGATTAAATTTAAAAAAAATGTTGCAATAAGAAACTTAAAAATTACAAAAACAGTAGGACACAAACTTAATATTTAATTTTATAGGGTTATAGCATATAAATACAAAAATTATTTTTCCTCTAAACCATATATTATGGAAATATGTAAAATGAGAAATAATGTTAATTGCATGATTTTGTAAAATCTAATTAGGTACATAGAAATATAATATTGGATGGCACTTGTAGACACAGGCATTTATTTACTTTGAACATAACCTCGGGCCTTGACCAATTTATTATTCTAGTCATACGTTAATTTTGTGTTTAAAAGAAATTAAAAATTAAAAATATACCGAAAATAGTTTGAACAACATTGCTTTCAGACAATTTATATTATTTTTATATATTGTTCTTTACCTGAAGAAATATTTCTGTGATTCAAAATGATAGATTGTATATAGTAGTTGAGTGTATGGAAAATTAGCCATAACAATACTGAACAACTAGACGCATTTGCAAAAACTATTCAAACAAGACTTTTTTTTATCTTTTTGGATTGAATTTGTGTTGTTGATAGCTTGTGCATTTTCTGTTTGATGATCATCCGAGTTAAGCGATCCATGTTCATTTTTATATCTTTGAATAAATTCAATAAGCTCAATGTTAGTTAATATTTTTGAGTGAATATTTCCTGAAAGTAAGTTAATGACATACTGGTAAGCAGCTTCCTTTGATAATTGAACTTCCGGTAAATACTGTAGATCCTTAATGTTGTCCGCCAACAATGATAGGGAACTCAAAGAATCGGAAGATAATAATAGTATATCTCGTATCTGCGGTGGTAACTTTTGTAACCACAAACGTTGTAAGTTCTGTTCTAATAACTTATCATCCGTTAATTGTTTCATTTCATTTAAAAGAAAAGACGGACATTTATCTTCCAATTTTAAATCGCTTAAGAGTTCCATATGTCTTTCTTGTTCAGATATTTTTTTTAGCAAATGGCTTCTAAAATACATATATTTATTAACCATACTCATGTTTTGAAATACGTCCAAAATGCAACACAAAATATCATGACTGTTCAATTCTTTTAAGAGGTCGTAATACACTGATAAGTCTTCGACCAAGTCAGCAGCCAATATTTTTGATTCAAATTGATTAAACCACCCTTTCGGATTTTTTACATAAAACAGTGGTTGATTAGGCCGAATAATATGATCCTTTATAACTAACGATTCCTCGGTTGATGTTGTTATTGGCTCAGTCAATATTATTCTTGGTCTAGTCGATGTAATTCGTAATTCAGCCGGAGTAATTCTTGATCTAGCCGTTGTAGTCGGCCCAATCAGTGTAATTATTGGTTCAATCGGTGTAATCTCTGGCTTAGTCGATATAATTATTTGTTTGTTCGATGTAGTCTTTGGTTTGCAGATCAGTGTACGTGATGGCTGGGCTGACGTTATATTTTGCTCGTTTGGTGTTATCGCTGGCCCAGTCATTGTAGTTGTTGTTGCAGTCGGTGGTGTAATCGATGGATCGATAGGTGTAATAATTTTTGGCTCTGTAAACGTAATGTGTAAATCATTATTACTGTTCATTACTGAATTAATTTATTAAATGTTTAGTTAAGAAATGAATTACCAACTTCAAAGTTGTGAAAATGTAATAAAATTAAACTTCGGTTTGACTAGAGTTGTGTAACAAATCCAACAACAAACATTGTGTGAAAGTGAATAGAACGCACAAATTCACGGTGGCCGATAGACTGCGCTTGTGCAAATAGCTTATTCAACCCCACGGCACACGTACCCCACAATCATTCCACTCCGCCATCGTGCCCTTACAATCAATATTTACGAGTATCGAGCGAAAACGCTTCCTATATAGTATATAATATAAGTAATGCTCAGAAACTATCAAATGGTGAGTAAACGTCAGCGGTGAACATCTGGTGAGGGGATTTATCTCCCCTCCCAGTTAGTACATCACTGAAATGAGGTGGTTTTCAACACGGGAGTTCCGACCCCAAAAGGCGTTACCTAAAATAATGAACAAAATGTATCATATTATAAGCTGTTTAAATATACAATTTTAAAATTATGTTGGAGTCTGAAATTTTTATTTGTTTGATAAACCATTATAAATTATACATTATTCAACTTAGGAATATACTCAAGTATTATGTATCTATAATCAGTGTAACTATACTATAGACTTAACATTTTCAACACATACAAAAATATTTAGAATTTTTTTGAAGTTTTGATCGACATTCAATGTTATCTAATTAATTTAGTTTTTATTAGAATGTTACGAGGTTGAGGAACCTGTGGTATGCATTGTGTTCAACGATTAACTTTAAGTGACCCCCAAATGTTTCTAACTTATGACCCTGAATTTCATTTTTCATTGCATAAAGAAGTTATTATTACACCTGTTCGAAAATGCGCGATTAAACACATTTTTATAATTGTATCTTTGCTCTTGGGTTAATTTAATTTTCTTATCAACTTTAAGTTATTACCAACATTGTTTTCATCTTAAAAATTGACTCATTGAGAATGATTTTACCTATCGTATAACATATTATCGTATATTTTTAACTGACTATCTACAAATTACAATTCGTGTAGTTTTTATTAACAACCGTGTGATTTCATATGGTTTTTTTTTGTGGAAACTTAGGTGTGGTTTTCGTACAGTATTTTGTACTACTTTGGAGTGTCCTGTGGCAGTACAAACTTCTATTTTTCAAATGAAAACAGCTCCTTCCCTTTTGATGTACCTATATTTGTATAACGTTTTTCATTTTTCTCTTTTTTTTTTTGTCCTGAGAATATGAAAAAATAATTTTTTTATAGACTCATTTAAGAATAATTATTAGTACAATATGCATAACAACTTTATTATATATTCACACTTAATCTTGAAAAAACTAAATCGTCTTGTTGGCCATAACCAACCAATAACCATTATAATATAGTGGTGTATTCCAATAGATTTATGTCTCACAGGTTAATAAATGTATCTCGACATCATTCTTCAGCACTCATTTATCCCATCACAGTATACATTAAACTATACTTATTAGTTATTACTGAGTATATTAGAGCATGGTAATATTTTTATAAATGTCTCAAAATGCAATTATAATGACATCGGGTATTCTCGCGTTTATAATGTCATCATAATAATAATACGGTGACTTCTCGGTCTACCATATTCTGCACTATGGATATGAAGTGTATAAGTATTTGATCATAAAATGATATAGAGTTTATTATACTATTCGTTACTAGAGGCAATGAGGCATAATATAAAATGTGTATAAATATACATGAAAAAAAAATTCAATATTGAATAAGTGCGCTTTATTTATGCAGGAAACTGTACGTATTTAAATGTTTTTTTTTTGCAATCGATGTTCTTACAGCAAACGAGTCATTAAAAAAAAAAAAATAGAAGAAACGCTTCGGCACAATACTTTTTTAATGTCATCGTCATAAACACATCGAGGACTATAATTAACTACTGCATATTATAATATTATGTTTGTTATTGTTGAATTTTTTTTACAGTTTTATTTCGAGTACCAAGAGAAACTTTTCCGGTCGGTGACAGGATAAATACTACTACCTACTATAAAAATGGCTCAAGCATAGTAATTTAAATTTTCCAATAATGTTCCATTCATATGAATACATTATCGAGCAAATTTTTTATCCCCATACCGTTTAATTATTTATTGACAATATTGCATTGTTAGGAGTTTATGATAAATGTGTACCTATACATGCATTGATGATATTATATATGAATGTGACTACTAAAAAATGTCTTTCATCCCAGTAAAACTTTTCATATCAATCACTGTGATGTTTGAAAATTTCTATTTTACTAAATACGTGAAAGAAAAAACAAGTCCAACAAGTTCATAATAGATGAATAAATACGTTGGCACATGTGAACAGATTTTTATAGAATCGCATCTCAAACACTTATTGATTTGTTTTTGGTGTACTTTACTGTTAATTCGTCGATGTTCGATAATATTTTAATACGTTTAATAACATTATATTGTATTTATATTAACATTTTAATAAAAAATGTATTTAATACATCGAGTTGTATAAATTTATATTACTCAGTTGATTTATATTTAAATCAATTATTAAATGTTTAGCTTCTCATACGTCATACCCCCTTAAGATACTTGTGATTGGAATAGAAAAAAATGTAAGATTATATAATTGCAAAAGCACATCGTAGCAGTAATAAATGAATATAGGCAATATACAAATAATTGTAGTAGGTATATCACCGAAAAACCTACATAAAACGTTGTCGTTTGAGGTTAAAATTTAGGACACATCATTTTTGTATTATAAAACATTTTTAGTAACCAGAGTAAGACCTATATAAACAAAAACTGAAACATTTATTCTCGATAAAATCAAAGATATACCAAGGATGTGTGATGAAACTCCCCATAAACAATTCAATTATTGTTGTATATACCTAAGTTAAATATAATATATTATTGCATTTTTAGGTTATCATTTTTCACTTTTCGTTTATTTTTTATGCTTTATATGAAATATACTTAAATGTTAGTTAATTTATTAATTATTTCATATTGAGAAATTTTAACCTATTTAGATTAATAATTTTGTATATAGGAACATTATAGATACATTTTTCAATATAATATTGATCATTAACAGTATTTAATAATAGTTGTTTTATACATAGGTGATCCTTATTAGACACCATAAAATAGTTTTTTAGTTGTTGTACAGTTTTTAGGTTTAGTAAAACACAAATGTGAAATTATTTTACCATAATACTATAGGCAATAAGATACCAATACACCTTCATACTCCGATCAAAGTATGTAAGTTATATTAAGTGTATTATTTATAATAAGTGGCAGTAGTGACACCGTCTACCTAAAGACTTCAACAACCTATACCTATTTGCGATTTGTGTATTTCATGCTAAACCATCCCTCTACTATTTATACCAACTGTACTATTCTGGGTAAAAACACTACATATTTAGAAATCTATAGTTTATAATGTGTCGATAATCTTGTAGTATGCAATTAAAATTAAAATCATATGATAAATAATATAATACAGTCTCAATAATATTATATTATGTGACTATTTTACTTAATTTTTCGAACCTATATACAATATAATATTCTACACCTGTAGATTCAGGAAATATAGTTGACTGATACATTATGATAGTGATGTATCTACACCGTACACCACACCATTACGAACAGCCTGGCAATAATTCTCAGGAGATTGGTGGCGTGTGGTGTCGTCAGATATACTAAGGCTGGATGTGATATGGAGTTGTTGGAGGCTCATCCAAGACACGTTTCACCGATGACGACACGAAAGTGGTTCAATCGAAAATCGTTGTGTATCGTCGTGAAATCCATTGAAAATATTGGGGGGCTAGAATTTTTCAAAAAAAACTAAATCTATGGGGGCTTAGCCCCCTTAAGCTTCCCCCTGATGGACGGTGACCAGACGTAATCACGGAGAAATCGGTCAGCCAAGACCGCTGTCGTAAGACTGATATAGTAGTAGAGGATAGTAATATAGTAGACTGCTACGGATAAGAACTATCCTGACCACTGACGGAAAATAGAACTGTGGTTGCCCGCTGTTAGTATACCATAAATAATGATGAGGACGGCCGTCGCCTCGGCCTTGCTTATATCGCGGTTTCCAACGTACGCGTAGGACGGATAGCTTGGATGGTTTTACTGAAGTGGAATTCGCAAAATTACTATCTGGAGAAATCTCGTGAGGTTACCGTCCTGCAGGAGCCAGGAAGCTGCGTGGTCCGACAGCTGACCATATTGTTCACAGCACTCGTGAGAAGCGTTTAACCACGATATTTTCCGTAGGTCATTTCATTCTTTTAAAGTGGTTGTCGTTGCATTTGCTTATACTCTTCGTCATCCTGCTTTGGCGCTTTGCTGTTTATCTTTTCCATACATTATTTTTCGTGCTTTGCTATTTTTGCATAATATGCGACCGCGTACGTAGGTACTCCACACAGTGCAACGTGATGAAACACAGACTCGACCAGTGCTTCTCGACCTCCGACCGTCTAAATTACAATTATATTTTATTATTGCATAATAATTATAATTAGATGGCTGCAGGCTGCAGTACTTATTAGTTATCACAATCGCTAAAATATTCAGGCGGACATGAAAATGTCCCAAATGGCATTTGAGTATATGTGTAGAATTTTCCCTGACCAAGCAATAATAAACTGTAAAACTAAAATTAAAATCATAAACGTATCGTTGATCACGTTAAGGCGTCCGATTTAACGACGATCCGGGCAGGCTGAATGGAATACTTTTGCGCGGCATTGGGTCGGGCATGCCTGGTATAAGGTGCGGGAGGAATACGATAAGGTGCAGCGAATGGTATACCTACTCTACGACATAATATATTATATAGGCACGTGGACAGGTACACCGTACAACACAATTTTAATTTTAAACCATTATTTTTTATCTATTAAACAGATGATTTTAGTTAAGTTTATTTTTATCTTCAACTAAATAGATTTTATTTATATTATCTTTATCTTTATATAGATGAAAAACTATTTATCTGGATTCAACACTGCTTCCTAAGCCATGTGCTCTAAAATTTGATCAAATACTTCATACAACACAATTGAGTACGTGCATCACTGCATATAATGTAATATATTGTATTATATATTATATAGTAAATACTTTACCTAATTCGCAGCTGCCTATATGCACTATGCTGTAGCTATTTTTTTTTAAGAACTGACTAAGGAAATTTATTTACTAAAAAACTTAAAAATGTAATACAGTTAATCTTAAGTTGTAATTATTGTAATTATAATAAAGTCTGAAATTAGAATTTTGACAAAATTCGTCAATATTACAA